TATATATATATATATATATATATATATATATATATATATATATATATATATATATATATATATATATATATTACATTTTATTTCAGTAAAATTATTTATTTTTTAAAACGTGTATTGTATCCTGCTGGGGGGGGGGAAACTTAAAAAGCCTGAGGTACTGTACTTTCCCAGCCTAAACTGTTGGCAGATTTTGGAGTGGTTTTGGGCACTTTTCAGCCTGTTAGGCTGGGGGTCCAGCTTAAACCAGCTAAGACCAGCTTAAACCGAGAAGGGTTTTTTTCCAACAAGGATGTGTGTAATACAGTGAGAATAAGAGAGTGTGGCAGACAGAGACTTACAAAGTGCAGGAAGCAGCGGCCCACTTCATGATACGGGTTGGGGTCGGGCTGCAGAAGCTCTTCGACCATGGACAGGAAGTCCCTGTGCACAGACAGGATCTCTTCCAGGTTAGAAAACAGCACCTGTGGGGCGAAAGCATGGAAAGATTGACTTACTGACTGAGGGACATTGTCTGAATCTGGAAAACCAACAATTCACTGCAAAAACTGAAGATGAAAACTGAAGAGTTCTGGAAGTGACTGTAACTTTAAATAAATATAGCACAAGAAAAGGTAGGTGTCAAGGAATTAAACAACAGAAATATAGTTAAAACTTAAGACAATTATTAAGACATTTATTTTGATATTTTATACCTAATAGAATCACATTCACACATTTTAAATGTCTCTTAAGTGTCCCAAAACCTTTGGGACTACTCTATATGAAGACAAGCCAGCTGTGTGCTATACAGTCCAGATATTCAATAACCCTGATATCTGAATGACCTCTGGAGAGGGACAATCCTCAAACACGAATGTTCAGACATGCTTTAAAACAGGGGTGCCCAAACTCGGTCCTGGAGGGCCAGTGTCCTGCAGAGTTTAGCTCCAACCCCAATTAAACACACCTGAACCAGCCAATCAAGCACTTATAGGCATACTAGAAACTTACCAGCAGGTGTGTTGAGGCAAGTTGGAGCTAAACTCTGCAGGACACCGGTCCTCCAGGACCGAGTTTGGGCACCCCTGCTCTAAAACATGCAAACAGCAGTCTGAGCTTGTTTACACTCACTGTTTTGTCCCACTGAGAATGCATTGAGTTTACTGTAACGCACTGCCAACCACGCTGAACATTTATTGTTTACAACCGTTTGGTTCACCCATGCACCTACCTTTAAAGAAATAGTTCACATATTGCAAATTATAAATATGCCAATTGCTCACTCTCATGTCTGGCATGTCGTGATTCATCAGAAGAGAACCAACTATGTTTGATGTCACTGATATCAAACCAGCTGCAGCGTTGTGGAGTGAGAACTACAGCAACATATAACAACTTAAAGGGTCAGTTCACCCAACAATGAAAATTCTGTCATTAATTACTCACCCTCATGTTGTTTCAAACCCGTATGACCTTCGTTCATCTTCGGAACATGAATTAAGATATTTTTGATGGAATCTGAGAGCTGTCTGACCCTCCCATAGACAGCAATACAACTGAAATGTTCCCAAGTCCAGAGACATAGCAAGGAGATCTGTAAAATAATACATGTGGCATCAGGGGTTCAACCGTAATTTTACGAAGCTACGAGAATACTTTTTGTGGACAAAAAAAAAAAAAACTACTTTATTCAACAATTCATCTCCACCCTAGTGCCGTTTTGGAGAATGTCCGCTGGACGTAAACAGCGTATGCTGTTCTGTGTCAGCTGCGTCATGCGTCCAGCAGATACTCTCCAAAATGGCGCTAGGGTGACGCGGAAAAGACAAATTCTTGAATAAAGTAATTTTTTTCTTTTCTTTTGTGCACAAAAAAATGATTGTTGCTTCGTAAAATTATGGTTGAACCCCTGATGTCACATGGATTATTTTACAGATCTCCTTGCTACGTTTCTGGACTTGGGAACATTTCAGTTGTATTGCTGTCTGCAGGGTCAGACAGCTCTCAGATTCCATCAAAAATATCTTAATTTGTGTTCCGAAGATGAACAAAGGTTTTATGGGTTTGAAACGACATGAGGGTGAGTAAATAATGACAGAATTTTCATTTTTGGGTGAACTAACACTTTAAATGTTGGTCTGTTCCTCACACAAATCTATTGTCTGAAATTAAAAGGCTTACAATATAGTGCACAAGTCTTATGCAATGTTATTTTAGTATAATTTATATAATATCATAATTTTTATTTTAAATTTTATGTTAAATTAGCTTTTTTATTTTTATATTTGCAGTTTTCATTTAAATTTTAGTTTAAGTTTTAGTAATTATGTGCGTTTCTCATTTTTATTAGGTTTTTTTTTCTATTTAAATTTTATTTTTATTTCACTTTTCGTAATTTAAGTACTTAAGCTTTCAGTTACGTTGAAAAAAAAATGGTGAAGGATTTACTTCTTACCTATTTTTACTAAGGAATTGCTAGTCAATTTCACAAATAATTGCAAGCAGCCAGCAACATACTGAATTTAACAACGTTTTTAAGTAGAGACTGAAATAGTATTTATTTACAAAATGTAATCTGATCATATTTTTATAACTTAAAATTACCAAGGCAACATTTCTAAGTATCAAGTTTAAGTTCTAATCAAATGTTTTTATTTTATTTTAGCTATATTTCAATTACTGAAAATTATTTTTAATAATAACAACAATACTGGTCTTATGGACCATATTAATGATACAATATGGTGCTTTTTGACATTTTTAAAGCTCATTTGCTTTCACTGTATGGAAAATAGCAGCCTGGGCATTTAACTAAACATCTCCTTTTGAGTTTAATGGAAGAAAAAAGTCATACCGATTTGGAATGGCATTAAGGTGTTTAAATTACTATTTTCATTTTTACAAATATTCATTTTTGAGGCTTGACTGCACCCCTAAAACCAATAGTGTGTCCAAAACTCACCTTGACAGTTTCCTCTGTGATATTCTTATCAATTTTAGACACAGCATACTGATTGAGGCGATGAAGAAGTACCTGTTGTGGACACAGGAAAGAGGAGAATGTAAACAGCAGTGTTGGGGAAAGTTACTTTTAAAAGTAATGCATTACAATATTGCGTTACTCCCTTAAAAAAGTAACAAATTACGTTACTTAGTTACTTTTTATGGAAAGTAATGCGTTACATTACTTTTGCGTGCGTTACTTTCGCGTTACTTTTTAAATATGAGCAGGGCTTGATTGTTTTTAATATAAGAAGCTCTATTTATAGCAAATGTAAAAGCCCTTTCACATCAAAAAGTGTAATGAATAAACCTCAGGCTGAAGGAAAAGTAAATTCACATCTGTACGGTAGAACGCAGGAGAAGAAACACTCTTCAGCAATAAAAAAACAATGAAGCACAATTGTTAGTTTATCTAAAGTCATTTTTGCTTATTAGTATGGTTGAGCTGGATCATCAAAGGTCAGCAGCAAAGACATTGGTTCATAAAATGGGATTAGATACATTTGTGTTATTTAACATTTAATTATTGCAGGTTTGCGTCATATTCTGAGTTTGCATTTCACAGTTTTAATTAATTTTGATGCAGGTTTGCGTCATATTCTGAGTTTGCATTTCACAGCTTTAATTAATTTTGATGAATACTAAATCAGTTTTTTTGTAAGTGGGATGAATTAATGCACATTCACATTTAGTCTAGAACTACAGTAACATCATGTTCATACAGCGCACACAATGCCTCTGCACTTCTGATTTCTCCCAGTATGGGGACAGGAGACTTGTCAGTCAATAAATGGGAAAACAAAGTAACTGGCGTTACGTTTTTTAAAAAGTTACTCAGATATTTTCTTGTAAATTAAAAAAGTAATGCGTTACTTTACTAGTTACTTGAAAAAATTCACATTTAGTCTAGAACTACAGCAACATCATGTTCACACAGCGCACACAATGCCTCTGCACTTCTGATTTCTCCCAGTATGGGGACAGGAGACTTGTCAGTCAATAAATGGGAAAACAAAGTAACTGGCGTTACGTTTTTTAAAAATGTAACTCTGATATTTTCTTATAAATTAAAAAAGTAATGCATTACTTTACTAGTTACTTGAAAAAAGTAATCTGATTACATAACTCGCGTTACTTGTAATGTGTTACCCCCAACACTGGTAAACAGTCAGCAAACAACCCACAAACTGTCTCCCTCTTGCACAAGATCATCCGTCTGAGAAAGACTGAGTTGAATTTCCAATTGCAGCAAGTTGGATGAAGCGGCCCTGACAGACTGAAACTACAGCAAACTGCAGCCAACACTAACGATCCAACATGAAATCCAATTTCTCCTCATCACGGAGGGCAGGGAATACATAACAAATGCAATTTACAACCTTCTCAAGAAGAAGGAGAAAGATGCCACAATACTGGGGGTCTGACAAAACAGAACTTGAAATAAAAACAACAGGAAGGAAGCGTGACTACATTTGTGAACAGAAATAATGAATATAGTAAATCTCAAGCACTGAGGTTGATGAACAGCTGCGTCCACAAGTCACTTTGCATGAAGGAAATTTGAGTAAACACAAATAAATCCAATCACATGGTAAGACCTCTATTTGGAGCAGAGAATGCTGATAGGGAGAATAATTTCAATATAAGCTAAACTATTCACATATTATCTAAATTACTGTGTCACATTTGCTTTTTCTATTATAAAACAGTCTGAGATAATTGGGCTGTCATATCTGGAGCTCAAAGCTAGATAAATAAAAGCGTGGTATCTTAGTTGTGGTTGTACATCTTGTTGATTTGTTAATATGAGCGAGGCAAAGGCTGTCAGAAGTTCATTTCAGAAATGTTTGGTTTGTTAAATATGCATGCTAAATACATGGTACATGTTCACACAAAGTCTCGGGTTACGCATGTGACCATGGTTCCCCGAGAGGGAACGAGATGCTGCGTCCTCTAGCGGACACTTGGTGGACTGCTGCCAGCAGGACCGGTGTCTGAAGCACGTGTGAAAAAACTCCAATCCTATTGGCCCATTTAGCCCGTGATGTCACAGGTTGGTGGCTGGATGTATAAGACGGCGCCTGCAGAACACGTCACCAACTAAGTTGTCTGAAGGAGGCGTGAAATAGACAGGCATGGCGAGGGGACGTAGCGACTCCTCTAACAGACACTTGGGGAACAAAATGCCAACTATGCCATGCCGCACCACATGCCTGTCCATCTGGTGAAAGAGCACCAAGGAAGTGATAGACATACATCTAAACTTTCCTCAGAAAGGGGCCAAGCCACTGACGCCCCGAGCTGCTCACATAGCTTGGCAGAAATGGGGAAGCCAGTTTCAGATGAAAGAGGAACATCCACACCAAGCTAAGAACACAGCTACCCTCAGATAGCTATGTTATGTGAGCAACACTTTAGCCTGATAATACAAGGACCACAGATAGAGGCTACCTACTTAGAAACACTAGCAGGGGGGATAGCACAGTCTAGATAGGGACCACTACTTAAAAACCCTAGTAAGGGGAGTAGTCACCGAGCTAGAAAACGGTGTAACACTTTAGTATAGGGACAAGTTCTCACTATTAACTAGTTGCTTATTAGCATGACTATTATTAACATATTGTCCGTTTATTAGTACTTATAAAGCACATATTCTGCATGAACATATTCTGCATCCCTACTCCTACCCAATACCTAAACTTAACAACTACCTTACTATCTTACTGTGAATAGAGTAAAAGGTACTTCTCGAAAAAAAAAATTTACTTGAGTAAGGGTAAAAGAGTAGCTTATTTAAAAGTACTCATATGTAGTGAGTACTGAGCTGTAGATTCTACCCACAAAGAAACCAATCAGATGTGCCATGTGAATAATGATGTGATTATATCAGATTGATGTGATTTATATCAGATATCAGTTAGAACCTGTGCCATCTAGAGTTTCATGAAAGAACTTTGTATATATTGTCAGAATGCTGAAAATCTACAATTTAGTGACAGTACAGAAAACGAGGCATTTCCTGTTAGCATATCTGTCTAAATGGCTGTGCTGTAAACAGCTCGTCCTCTCTGCTGAGTGAGTGGGTCTATAACACTAGGCCAAATAACCAAAGAGTGGCTCCCCACTGGCAAGATAACCACATGCAACTGAATGTGCTGATTACAAGGCCAAGAACTAACCACTTATATATTTCATCAACTAAAATTAAACAGTTCCAGAACACTCTCCAAACGAAAATCCAAATGAAAGGGCGAATAAGGAAGGCAGTAATGAAACCCGGCTCTTGATTGCAGCTCAGCTGCACAGCAAAAGCCTCAGTGCTGATTATGTTTCTGTAGCTGTGCTCCACAGCTACACCGGCTGATTAGCAAGTCTAATGAACATACATGTGGAGTGTCAGCGAACGGCACCTTGCATTGGCTTGACAGGGCTGCTGGTTTGCACTAACAACATGTAACTTCAGTTTACATTTGCATACGATTTCATGTCATCTGAGCTTTAGAACAGGATCTGTCCCACTGCTATGAGGTTCTGCAGCTTTTAAAGGGATAGTTCACCCAAAAATGAAAATTCTGTCAATAATTACTCACCCTCATGACGTTCCAAACCCGTAAGACCTCCGTTCATCTTCGGAACACAAATTAAGATAGTTTTGATGAAATCCGAGAGCTTTCTGACCCTGCATAGACAGCAACACAACTACCACGTTCAAGGCCCAGAAATGTAGTAAGGACATTGTTAAAATAGTCCATGTGACAGCAGAGGTTCAACCTTAATTTTATGAAGCCACGAGAATACTTTTTGTGTGCAAAGAAAACAAAAATAACAACTTTATTCAACAATTTCTTCTCTTCCGTGTCAGTCTTCGTCGTGTGTTCACGTGGTAGTAAAAATATCTTTGTGTTCTGAAGATGAACGAAGGTCTTACGGTTTGGAACGGCATAAGGGTGAGTAATTAATGACAGAATTTTCATTTTTGTGTGAACTATCCCTTTAACCTTGCAAGTCTTACATTTCAGTCCTATCCCAAATTCCACAGCAAATGCTAGTCTCATTAGATTTTGTTAAGATCAAAAAATTACTGTTTGCAATAGAGATTTAAGGGATAGTTGACCCAAAAATCTCAGGAACACAAAAGAAGATATTTTGAAGAATGTTGATGACCAAACAATTTCAGGTCCTACTGAATTCTGTAGTCTTTTCTTTCCATACTATGGAAGCCAGTGTGACTCAGAAACGTTTGGACACCAACATTATTCTGTGTTCCACAGAAAGAATTAAAGCCATATAAGTTTGAACCAACATGAGGGTGAGTAAATAAAGACTAAATTTACATTTTGGTCAACTATTCCTTTAAAGTCTCCTGTTTTGTCTAGTCAGTAAAAAAAAAAAAAAACACTGATTCCAGTAACCATTGAGCATGAGTCTTGGGTCACTAAGGAACTTCAGGGTGGAAAGGTGGATGTCATCCAAGGAGACTGCAGGAAAAAACAACTTGTCCTTTTCAAAGAACACCTCACAAGTATGCAGTCCAAAACACTTAGAAACTCATGGATGTGAACCACATGCAGACAAACTCACATTCACCTGCTGGCCACTGTCTCGTCTTCTTCAGCTTCAGACGGAAGCTTGCTGCAGTAAATCCAGCCTTTATTAGACAGCCAGATGACCGAATATGAGAGTGAACCTGAACCTGCACCGAGCCATGAAGTCATACTCATACTAATATCTTCACCAGGAGCAGAAAATCCAGCATGGTTTCATTTAACATCTTATAGAAAAATATTCAGACTGAATGCAAATTATAGGGGTCTTTGAGGGGTGTGACCACCCAAATTTAAGGCTAGAACCCTCCACAAGAATTAAAAATGTGTGTATATAGACTACAGTTCAAAAGTCTGGTGTCAGTAAAATTCTTTCATGTTATTGAAAGAAGTCTCTTATGCTCACTAAGGCTATATTTATTTAATTTAAAAATACAGTAAAAATAGTAATATTGTGAAATGTTATTACAAATTAAAATAACTATTA